CGATAAACAATAATGTGCACGGTATCAAAGTACACATCAAACATTGCATGCCAGCCAAGCCTCGTGTTATCAATTTTTGTCTGGCTATTCAGATCCGACCTAAGTAGAGGGAAATACGAAACTAGCACAGAACTATTTAGTTAGCATTTATATCGCTTACTTAAAGCTATGCTAAGCTATACTCTTTAAACTAGGTAAGTATACAGGGTGGAATTTTGAAATGCCACCTGGAGGAAAAGTACCTACTCTTAATACTGTAGATATACATTTTTACTGAAAGAAAACATTCCTTTATTTTTGGAAAGAAAGAGAACTGTACCTCTAGTAGGAAAAACTTTCGAGTTCGTTTCGTTGCGTATTCCTTTGATGACACTTTTGTCATCGAAAAATTTTGTATGAAAAATCAAACAGCGCCCCCTATATTATAGCCGCCCTAGGGGGCGCTGTTTAATTTTTCATACAAAATTTTTCGATGACACTTTGAATACGCAACGAAACGAACTCGAAAGTTTTTCGTACTAGAGGTACTGCATTCAAAGATTTTCGAAAATTTTTCGAAAATTCACTACCATACCATACACTACCATACAATTTTCTGTAACATAATTAAAATAATTTAAGTCTTCATGGTTTTCCTTTCATTTGATTTATCAAGTATGTTAGAGAGATTTCATCGTTATACGCTTAACCCTAACGATCGATGTAATAAAAATACAGGGTGTAATTTTAACAGATTTTAGTTGGTTCGATTCCCAGGTGTAGCAAGCAAATTTTTGGAAATCTTTGAATGCAGTTTTATTTCTTTAAAAAATAAAGGAATGTTTTCTTTGAGAACATTTTTCTATCTACAATATTAAGAGTACTTTCCCTCCAGGTGGCATTACAAAATTCCACCCTGTATAATTGGAAAACGGATTTAAGCTTAATTTTAAACTGCTTGCTCTACCTTCTAACTTTATCTTACAAGGCAGGCCCTTCAATGGCAGGGCTACGCGACGAATATTTATAAATTACAAGATAAACAAGCTGCTACAAGCATCCATCAACGCTTGCCTTGCCATGGTCATCGCTCAGTTAGTTTCTGAAAATTAAATGACCTTTGAGCCGAATAGAGTTAAGTAATAGATTATGTGGACTTTCCACAGAATAACATATGACTAAATGATTAATCTTTAAAATCATGTTAATATCAAACTTCCTGATTATAAAATATCTTAAAATTACTACCACCATAATGTGATATTTTCTATATAGCTGTCTGTCTCATCACTTCAGTACGTCTAGCACGAAAAGCTTTCGACTTCGAATCGTTTGCGTATTCGAATCGCCATCAAAAAATTTAGTATGAAAACTTAAACAGCGCCCCTGTAAACTTGACCTAAAATGAACTCAGTATGAGAAATGGCAGAAACATAGGTAGAACGAAACTAATTTTGACAGTCGAGATCGTCATATTAACGTTGATTTCGAAGGCTGGATATCGCATTTTTTCGAATACGCAAACGATTCGAAGACGAAAGTTTTTCGTGCTAGCCACACAGTATCTAAAGATAGTTTATCTTGAACAACAAGATCATTATGTGTATGTTCAAATTCCATAATAGGTACATTATAAACCTAAAATAAAATTACTTAACATATTACCTTTGTACCTATAATACAATCAAATTAGGTATCGAATTTTTATTTTACAGATATTCCTTGTTTAATTTTGAGTTCCTCTTTGATTTTGAGGTATTTTAAAATGTTAACTATGTCTCTTTTATCAGCTCAGCGTTATTATCTTTGTTTATCAACACACAATCCCAGACGCAAAACTGACTTCACAAAACACGCTTCACGGCTATTACTGTCTCATTTAGTATTTCGAATTCGTACCTAGCTATTGAAATCTATCTATGGTATGTAAAATCGTAGATTTTTTTTATTTGACGTAAGCAGTCGTTTGTTTCAACAAAATACACAATACACATCCAAAATTAAGTCAGACGCATTGATCGCTCTGCCTCTGCTGAGTAATTTGTCGCGTCACGCGCAGTGAGCGGACGTCCAAGGTTCAATCAAACACCGAGCCATATTTAACTATTATTATATTATAACCTATGTATATTAATTATTATTTGCGGTCTTAGTATTAGGCAATTTGCCAATTCATCTGTAATAGTGAAAAGTCAGTCATTTGTGTTTTCATTTCAGTTTGGCGTAGCCTTTGCAGGCGACTAACGGCATGCCACGTGTGCAAGTCGAACAGGGCGCGTTGGCTGGCGTAGTCTGTGAACATGAAGAGGGAAAATACTACGCGTTCAAAGGCATCCCATACGCGAAGCCGCCACTCGGACCATTGAGATTCAAGGTAACAGATTTGTCATTCACGTAATCATTATTCGATTTTATATGCAATATAATTATGTATCTGCATAATCGGTGTGTACTGGGCATATGAATTATTAATGTGTTACTCACGTTAGGCTTTCGTAAACTCCCTCGTTGCACTCGCCAGATTTCGTTTAATCCGAGTATCGTACAAATTCACAAATTGCAAATTGCAGTGGCTACCTTGTGTTTTGTGAAAGAACATGGCCAAATCACTGGTGATGTGTATCTAAGAAATACGTTTCGGGAACTTGCAAAGTTCATACAATGAGAGCTACTCTTATGTCACCATGGCTACACGGTATGCTGTGGGAACTCTATAGCAAACAGAGAGTATCTTACATAAAAAACGTGGTTTAATTTTAAATTATAACGAATTCACGACGCGTTAATGCCCATTCAATTAGCACTCGATTCGCGTCCGCGGCGCGGCGTGCCGCAGGTAGATCGCGTGTCTGAATACAATTTACGGCCACACGCTTCCCCGGCGCCAACCTGATGCAGGCAAAATTTTAATGTATACCGTCGAGAGGCTGTATCAACACAGAATTAGCCCCAGGTTTAATTCTATTGATTCTATAATTTAATCTTCCAAAAATACTCAAATAGGTACTTACATTTCTTTACAGGCTCCTGAACCTCCAGAAGCTTGGTCAGGAATACGCGATGCCTCGCAACATGGGCCAGTGTGTCCTCAGTATAATGAGCGCCTGGACCGCATCGACGAAGGCAGCGAGGATTGCCTGTACCTCAACGTTTACTCCAAGAACCTCACACCACCACGACCCCTCCCCGTCATGGTGTGGATCCACGGTGGATCCTTCTATACTGGGTCGGGGAATTCTGATTTCTATGGACCGGAATTTTTCATGGAACACGATGTTATTCTGGTCACATTCAATTATAGATTGGAAGTGCTTGGCTTCCTCTGTCTCGACAACGAGGAAGTACCTGGGAACGCCGGACTAAAAGACCAAGTGGCAGCTATGAAGTGGGTAAAAAAGAACATAGCCGCATTCGGTGGGGACACCGACAATATCACCTTGTTTGGCTGCAGTGCCGGTGCAGCATGCACGTCATACCATTTAATATCTGAAATGAGCAGAGGCTTGTTTAATAAAGCGATATGCCAAAGCGGAGTTTGCCTCAGTGATTGGAGCTACAATTTGTACCCACGACAACGAGCTTTCCAACTCGGTAAATTACTTGGAATAGACACAGAAGACGAAAAAGAGTTGTTGCAATTTTTAAAAAGTTTGCCAGCATCTTCGTTAATAAAAATAAAACTGCCACCACTACATATCGACGTTAAGAGAGATTTAACAGATAGCATAACTTTTGGACCAGTTATTGAAAAATCTGATTTGAAAGTAGAGAAATTCGTTACGGAACCACCATGCAATCTAGTCAGGAAGGGTCTCATTGCCAAAGTGCCACTAATTTTGGGATACACGTCTGGAGAAGGAATCGAAATAACGAGAAATATAAATGGACTAGTTGCATCAGGCATATTGTCCCAAGTTGGCGATGTCGTACCCAGGGAGTTAAAATTCCAATGGTCGTTGGAAAAAATCCAAGAGGTCGACGAAAAACTTCGAAAGTTTTACTTTCAAGATAAGGAAATAACTGTTGATATGATTCAAGAACTGACGAACTTTACGTCCGACTTACTATTTGTATACAATATACTGAGGTTTGCTCGACATCACTATCGTATCAACCAAAACAATTCCCCTGTTTACGTATATCAATTCGCAGCAGAAACTGAAAGGAATTATACAAAACAACAATATAACATGGATTCCATAAACGGTGTTTGCCACGCGGACGATTTGCATTACCTGTTCCACGTTTCATGTCTACCAATACCTTTGACAGAAGAGTCTAAAAAAACTATTAAACAATTTGTAACACTATGGGTGGATTTTGCGACATCAGGGTAAGTTTGTAGTTATTTATACCTATAAAAACACAGCTTATGCTAACAACTCACTGCAAGCTGCTGCTTGCTTTCTATTAACGTGAGCTTTTAAGAAGTGCCAAAAAGCATGATCCGCCGCTTATCTTTAGTTTGCAAACAAAATCGGTTTTAAATTTTAGTTTAAACATTTGCAAAATGATATAGATTCATATATTTCTTCCTTGCAGGAACCCCACACCAGAAACGAAATTATGGCAACCTTTTACAGAATCCGACCGCTACTGTTTAGTCATCGATAAACAAAACACGTGTATTAATATTAGTGGTGCAGAAAATATTCGATTCTTAGAACAAATTTATGAAGAAACAAACTTGAATTAATATCTAAAAAGTTCTTGAATGTTCTTTCTCTGAGAAAGTCTGTACTGTTTATGTATAAGTAGTCAATATGTAAATAAATTCAATGTTATTTATGGAGCCAGTGTGTATATTCAAGTGTTGCCACCTGTATACCTATACAGATAAGTATTTTCGTTCTGATAATACATACAGTAAAGAATAGACCTTCTTTCTTAAAACGTATTAAATAGATATTTAGCGGCTAACATAATGGTGAATTTTCACTTAGGTATTTTAATTAACAGAAACAAATAATTGGAAATTAATTTCTTATAATTATTATTAAACGTACACATTATTTTCTTAAAAATAATAGTCATCCCTTACAAATACTGCAATATCGCACCAATTCATCTAGACGACATACCGTATATTAAAACCTTACATTATTTTTAAATGAGACATAACTAAGAAAATAATATAGTGTTATGAACACTATTGTATATTTTCTAATAAATATGCGTTATTGCAGTATATACGAACATTCACATCAATCAAAACATTCAATAAAGATACTCTGCCCTAAATCTGCGTACAACATACAATAGTACATTTCGATTTTAGCAACAAGATGGTGTACTGCATTGGAAAGTACAAATAATACTATGAAACTATAAAAAACACCAACAAATCTCTGTTTTAGATAAATTTTAGAGGAATTACAGTATTTAGCTAAATTGATTTTAAAAATATGTAATATTAAACCAAATATTTATTGGATTGCAGACTCAAGACCAAATATGGCTGATGAATAAATCTTATCATTTACACAACAAAGTTAAATTATGTAGGTATTTTACAATTTTGCAAATTTGCTTTAAAATGAGCAATATTTTCATTTTTGTTCATAATAGAAAAGAAGAAAAGATGTGGCACTGTAAAATATATTGACTTTGTGACTCTAGAAACACGACCAACAACTAAAATTGCTTCCGATTTTTCAGTGCATGTACTGTAAATTATACAATCGTCTGGGTCTGTTTTGCAGTTGAGGCACCTGTAAATCTTTTGAAGCAACCCGTCCAATAAAATATTATAGTTTTCATGTGTTCGAGACAGAAAAGTCGTCTTCTATCTTCAACAAGACATTGGACATAGTTTGAATAGAAGTTGATAATACACAGAGAAGATTTTGCATTCAGAAATTAGATGACATCAATTATATCACGGGAAGTCATTATATTATTATATTACTACTGATATTATAAGGCATCTAAGTCATTTACTTATCGGACTCTAATGTTATTATGGTTCTACAGGGTGTTAGGTAAATGGGTATATGAGCCGACACTAGCCCATGTTAACATGGGCATATAAATGGTATGGTGAAGTCAGAAAATTGATATCTTCATTTTAATATTTTTAATTTTCATACAAAATAAATTTTATAAAATCCGATTTGTATGAAAATTAAAATAATTAAAATGAAGATATCAATTTTCTGATTTCACCATACCATTTATATGCCCGTGTTAACATGGGCTAGTGTCGGCTCATATACCCATTTACCTAACACCCTGTATATTCATTCGGGCAGAACGCGCGACTCAAATCGCCCAATTATCATCAGACGGGTGTCAGACGCATTAAAACAGTTCAAGACACCATCCGATTGAATTTACGCCGACTATAAAAAATCACCCTAAAAATATCTAATGTTCAACTGCAATTTTGTGATAATATTTGAACACATCTGTTTAAATTTAAAATAATCCAGTGCTGACTTTTTAGTTTAACGTACAGTTCAGGCAGGTATACGTGAAGTCCGTATTCAGGGTAGGGGCGCGCTGGGCGGTCAGTAGCGGCCCGAGCGCGAGTTGCGCGGCGGCTCGCGGCGCCCACGTGACCGCGAGCGGCGGCGGCGCTCGCGCGAGCGGCTGCGCGAACGGCGCCCGCCCTTGCGGCGGGAGTACAAGTATCTGGAACGAAGTTAAAGGACATTGGCCATTAAACTATGGACACTCGGCACATTTTGCGTCCGTCAGCGTGCGTCTTTAGAAAATGTTAGGGCCCTCGCTCACGACGACTTTTTGTAGTGAACGCGCGTTTTGTAAACGAGCGACAGCATAGCTACTAACGCGCGTTAGTCGTATTTGCAACGCACTACAGAAGCGATGCCAACGCGCTACTAATGCGCTACAGCAGCGCGACTGTATCGATGCGAACGCGCAACCGTGTCGGACGACATCGGGGAGAGAAGGGGAGGGAGGGTTACTGAATCGCTACTGCATCGCTACAAAAAGTCGCCGTGGGCGAGGGGCCTTAAGTATGACCCTTGCAACGGGAGTACAAGTAACTGAAACGAAACTCGGCACATTTTGCGTCAGCGTGCGCGTGCGTCAAAATGTACGGCCACAAAATATGAAAATTAAATAACTCATCTCTCTTACTCTGTCGTAGTAGCAGAGCAACTAATTTCCTAAGCTAATGAGGATTGCTTAAGCAATGTACCTTAACCTAATGTGGTTCACGTTTAGCTTTGAATAGGTAGCATTCTAATTAATATTGGATCATGGTTTCCTGGCAAGTAATTATAAAAATAAATAAAATAATTAATAATCATACTATCGTAATCTACTATATAAAAATAATTCGGGTTTTCCTCCCTGACGCTATAACTCCAGAACGCACGCACCGATTACCACGGTTTTGCATTCGTTGGAAAGGTCTCGGGCTTGAGGTGAGGTTTATAGCAAAGAAAATTCGGGAAAAGGGGGTAAAACAGGATCCACGCGTACGAAGTCGCGGGCGGCCGCTAGTTTCATTATAGACTCTTCATCAAATTACTTCTAATGATTAGCAAAAAAAATAATAATTCACATTGAATTATAACTTTATAAAGCAATATGGTAATCATGGGGATGGGATTATGGAGACCCAGAGGTGTTGCCCTAAATCCGGCACTGGATTAGTCATGGATGGGTGTTGGTCATTCAAAATTCTTTAACAGTATGATTGAACTTTGACAGTGATCATTTTCTGTGATTATAGAATTTTTTAAACCATAGAATACCATAGGAATATTCGTTCATTCATTTCAGCCAAATGACGTCCATTGCTGGGGAAAAGGCCTCCCCCAAGGATTTCCATAATAAAATCCTGCGCTGCCCGCATTCAGGTTCTTCCCGCGATCTTTACCAGATCCTCGGTCGACGCTACGTCTTCCAGCCCGTGGTCACCATTCGAGAACTTTTCTGCCCCAACGGCCATCTAGCATAGGAATATTACAAATAAAAAATTACCTCCTCAACTCTCTGGAAATAGGCTTCAGATGCATGAAGTTGCAGAACCCACTCCTAGTACACTCGCCCATCTCGTACTGGCGGCAGCAGGCCTCACGGAAGTCCGTGACGGGCGACAGCTCGGCGTAAACCGGCCGCCCGCCGAACCAGCGGTTGTTCAGGTCGTTGACCGCCTTCTCGGCGTCCTCCTCGCGACGGAACTGAAAAGGTAGATGATACAATTACAGGCAAGATACCTAAAGATACGAAAAATACAATATTGTTAGCAATTTGTGAATACAAATCCTAACTATAATATTATAAATGCAAAAGTAACTCTGTCTGTCTGTCTGTTACGCTTTCCCGCTTAAACCTCGCAACCGATTTTGATGAAATTTGGCATAGAGATAGTTTGAGTCCCGGAAAAGAACATAGGATAGTTTTTATCCCGGTTTTTGAAACAGGGACGCGCGCGATAAAGTTTTTCTGTGACAGACAAAATTCCACGCGGGCGAAGCCGCGGGCGGAAAGCTAGT